CTAAATTCGGTAAAACAATTATTGTTAATGTTTTTGAACAGTAACAATATTAATATCATTGATATTAAAATAAAAAAAATTTTTATGTTTTGAATTTTTTGACTTAAATTGGGTAAAATTGAATAGTAAATCAAGTTATAAATCATTATTTGTTTTTATAATTTAATTGTAACTATTATGTCTCAAAGGAGATGAATAAATTCCAAGCAAAGTATGACTAAGAAAAAACATATATTACTCTTATTAAAATTATTATAAAATCATATTAAATATGACTATTTGAACAAGGCTTTGTATATTTATCCTGTTATTACAAAATTATAATTTTCTTACTTATCATTAAACTTTATAATTTTAATTTTAATACTATATTAGGTGGTCTCATAATATTCGGCTAGTAAATAACTCCAAATCAGAAGTTTTTTTGAAACCAAAAATTACCAACTATCAATATTTTATGTAAAATTTTTACTGTTTATATTTTGATTAAAATGAATTTTAAAATATATGATTAGTTTGAAAATGTATATTCATTTACGATTCTATTAAACGTTAGTCAGTCAACCTATGTTATTATAAATTATTTAATTTCAAATATGAACATGGAACGATTATTGATTTTTGGACTTAACACTAAATACAAGTTTGCTTTTCGTCGTACTCGTATACCTTATAAAAATATAACTAAAGTTATTAATTATTTAAAAGGTTTTTAGATTTATTACCAAAAGCGGCCATAGTATTTAGTCATTACTAAAAGTTATAAATATTATTGACTATTATAAATACACAACATTTAAATTGTAAGGGGTTAGATTCTTACATTTTACGGCAATATTATTTAAAAATATTTTTTGATATAATTTTAGTTTTCAATGGCTTGTAAACTCTCTTATTGGTTGTGATGAATAATAATAAATTACTTCAAAATATTTTAGTAGCCATTTTCATGCTATGCATTATTATTATATGTACAGGAAATAATTTCAAATCATATATATGTCTAATAAAATTAAATCAATTTATTTCGAAATTGCCGAATGTAAGAGGTATGGGTTCACATTTTATCTGGGATAGTACACTGTACGAGCACAGATTTTATTTATTTTGATTTTTGACTATACATAATTGTACATTTTTTATTTATATTTTCTTTTTATTCAATAATTAAATAGAAAATTGATATTTAATATTACTCATATTTTGTGATAAATACTATGGAATAAAATACGGACGGACTATTAAAATTTAAAAAGATAAAACTGTTTACTAAAAAACAAATTAAACACAATTAAAGAGCTTTCTATTTTATTCTATTGAATTTTCCGTTGAAGACAATCATGATTACTTATTTTTATTACTTTGAAATGAATTATATTATATTTTTTAAGAGTATCAAATGATATTAAATTATTGAGTATACATTTGTATCTTGATACTGTTATGGAATCTCTTGTTACACCTCGGGGCACACAACCATGAATTCGCTTCTACATAAAATAGGATTTCATCAGATGCTTGAAGAACTATTTTTAAACAAATTATGGATTACGATACGCTTTTGAGATATAATTTCCCTGTTCAATAACAAAAATTGTGTACGTGTACCAAACCGTAAGCTAACACAGAATATCTGATAATATCCATTGAGTTCTTTATACCTTTAATATATTACTGTACGTGTCTTAATTTAATATGTTTAATTATAAAATCTTAAAAAAGTACTATTTATTTTTTCGGTCCAAGTTGAAAATTATAATTACTCGTAAACTTTTAAAATTAATAAAATGCAGAATCATATAATATTTCATAACAAATTTTCAAATGCTCACCACTTATTTGTTAAAATTTATAATTTATTGAGTTTTAATATATTTGTCTTCACTTTTTTTTTCTAAAACCAGAGAGCTGTAAAAAAAAAAAAAAAAAAAAAAGACGTGGGTGGCTATATTCATTTGTTTTACAACTAATATTAAAATAATAATTTTGAAGTAGTTGAAAACTTAACGAGTATTCATAGTGGTACTCAGAAGATTTGGTGTTAGAAGAGGTAAGCCAGATACAATTTCGATTGAAAATGGCCCAAATTTTGTTGGAGCCTAGAAGGAGTCTCAAGTGTATATGAAGAGTATTGAAAATCATCTCGCAAATAAAGGAATCAATTGAAAGTTCAATCTACCAGCAAGTCCACATTTTGGAAGATTGTGGGAGAGCTTGGCGAAGAGAGCTAAGCATCACTTGAGTAGAGTCATGAGACAAGCATCACTCACATTAATTGAACTTCAGACTTTGCTGTGTTAGATCGAGGCTTGCCTCAACTCACGTCCTCTCACACCACTGAGTAGCGATGCAAACGACATGGAACCGTTAACATTAACTTATTTCCTGATAGGAGGACCATTTACATTGCTTCCGGAGCCTAGTTTGATACAAAAAGAGCTAGCTGGATTGCAGATATGGAAATTAGTTCAAGGGATGCTTTAAACCTTTTGGAATCGATGGAGAGTGGAGTATCTTCCTGAGTTACAGACAATAAGTAAATGAAGAACTGTAAGTAGGAAAATATAAATAGATGACATTATAACTGTAAGAGAAGAGAATATGACACCTACTAAGTGAAAATTAGCATGAGTGATAGAATTGCATCCAAGCAACGACAGAAATGTTCGTGTTATCATCATACGTGTTGAAAACAGAAAACAAACAAGATTCCCAGTAGTCAATTTATGCTGTTTACCAACAACAGAAAAAGACCAAGAGGTTGAAAAATTATAGTTTTTCAACAGGGGTAGAATGTCCGCGAGACTAACGTGGACATACCTTCGGTCAATTAATGAGCTACGATAAAGTACTACCACGCACACATACACATCATCAATTTATGTAAATTATTATATGTTATCGTTCTATATTTATGTGAGTTATATAATCAAAAAGACCCGGTGTTATTATTATTTTTTTCGCTCTCTGTGTCGTTCTGTGATTTGTCGCGAACACATTGCAATATAAAGTTTGTTACTTACGTATAGTTTTTTTTTTTAGTATTTGCACACAATACCGAATTCAAATATTTATTATTATATTATTTATATTCATACTGTCATAAGTTAATATTTTATTATTATATACTCCGCAATGTGTTTTGTACCGTCATAGGTCACCATTTAATGCCGTCTTAGGCCGATCAACTTATTTGTTAAATGTTAATTTTTTATGTTTTCTAATTTATAAATTTTACTGTTTATTTTTTGCATTAATTTTACATTGTGTTTTTTGTGGAAATTTGAATTAAATCATAGGTAGGCGGCTTGCCAATCTGCTCTTCGTGTAAAACTGTGAGTTATTTCTTATTTTATATTTTTATTTTAATTATGTTGATGAATTATTAGAAATTGTATTATATTTATTATTATTGTTGTGAAGCAAAGGCTCTGTAGTAGCGACACTTGTGTTAAAATGAATATACTCTATTAATAAAGAAATAAGATACAATAATACAAAATATTATTGACAGTGCTTCAATAAAAATCAAATATTTTGAATTTGTTCAATATATTGATCGATCCTTCAATACTGCCAATACACTATCAATATTATTGACAATATCAAATTTTGATCAATATTTGGACCGTATATGGATTTCTTTAGTGCGAGAAAATTCATATAATATTATTTATATTAAAATGTATTCTCATAACAAGCAAACATTGTTATATTTTGAATTACTGACCATATAGGCACAAATTGTATACTATTTATATATATATATATATATACATTATTGAGCCAAAGGTTATTTATTATACTATTATTTATTGATACATGTTGCTGTAACTTATTTATCTTTTTAATTATTATTGTTTCGAAATCAATAAACAGCAATAGAGTTACTAAAAACTTGATAATTATTTATTAGTTACCCCCTGTCTTCCATAGTTTTAAGCAACACACAAACACAAAAATACACATATACACACACCACTTCACCACGTAGCTCATCAGATTTTCACGGTGATCACAATCATTTTGATTGAGCTACTTAAATGTTACATACTCACCAATAGCGAGTCCGAATAAGTCAGTTAGATTAGGTAATCGTCGGTCGTAGATAGTGTGAGCATGCGTCGCATTAATTTCCGTTTGAGTGTAACACCATTTTACACTACCGGCCCCAAAATTTGATGGTTTGTCTCTAATATACAGATATTTATGTATTCGTATATTAATTTTATACCACTTACAATGTCTTATTTGAATTTTTTTGTTTTCTGCAGCTTTTACCGAAACGTTATATGTATATGTTACCGTAAATGCCCGATCACTAGGTAAACCTAGGTTTTACTAGTTAATGCTAGGTTTTACTGTTTGTACTCAGTAAATGCTGAAATTCTAAATTTTATTCGGGCTTTTACTAAACACGTTGTGTACATCCTAGGATATACAAATTGACTCAGTAAAAGCTGATCAATACGCGACACATAACATTTTAGCTGCGTAAAAATTATAATTATATATTATTATAATTAATAAAAATGCATCTTAAGTTGTACATTTTTTCTGGAAATTACACTTCAAACATTTTTGTTTGCAACGATTAATAACAATTATTTTGCGAAGATAAATTTATGACTGCAATGTGTAGATATTAATAATTATCTAATAATTTACTAACGGATACGTTATCGCTTAGATATAGTTTTATTAGGTACATGTTCAGTCTGTTTGGATTTTACGTGATAGACGGATCCATTTGTAGAACAGTGTAATATGTGTTGTGCCTTGTGCGCGTAATATTTATATTGAATTGTGTTTAATTAACCCTCGGGTACCCGCACAACGGCATTCCATGCCGCACATTATCTAAAATGTATACGGCTTCAAAGTATATCGTTACATCATCAGATAACAAAAAGGTATCATATCTACAGATATCAGGCTACTTTATCACCGATACGCTGAATTTATTGTTTGTTTACTCAGTTGACAGTGAGCTTGTCAAGTGTAAATGTTAGTCCGTCGGTATTCTGTACCGTCTGCGGGTGTTCGTGTTCCTTCAAATCGGTACGCAGTGCCGTCCGCGGGTAAACTTGTTTTCAATCTTGTGCTCAGATAAATTAATAGTATGTCTCGGTTTCGTCAAATTTACGGAGATGATAAGATCGCAGCAGTTTTACAAGAGCTAGAAGACAAAGGTAGGATTGAATTTGCTACAATAAATTATATTTATTTAATTTATTTCAAATTTTTTTTTCAGTTGAAGTTAATGATGCTGATCCAATTGCTGACTTTAGTGATGATAGTGAGGGGGAAGATGAGGTAATATTACCTAACGATCAATCAAGTGACAGCGAGTTATCAATAGACGAACGAGATAGCAATCCACCTCCATCTGTAAGTCTTAATGATAATGCCGACTTTGACGTTTTTATAGGAAAAAATGGAGAGACTTTTTGGTTCAGCAATGCTTTAGCTTTGCCTAAACAAAAAATTAAGTCTAAAAATATAGTAAAAATTTTACCAGGACCGACAGGTTTTTCAAGAGAAGCCAAAAGTGAAAAAGATATTTTTCTAAAATTTTTTCCACTTGAAATAATTGACAAAATTGTTTTGTGCACTAATAAATTCATTGATAAGCGAGCTAACAAAATCCATAACAGATGTATTGAACTGGGCAATGAATTCAGGAGTAGGGAATTCAAAACGACTACAAGAGGCGAAATGTTGGCCCTAATAGGAATATTTTTCTATATGGCCACATGCAAGACAAATCGAGCGAACACGAAAACTTTTTGGAAAACAGACGGTACTGGTATGGTATTATTTCACGCAGCGATGAGTTATAATAGATTCTTCTTCTTATTGCAAGCTCTTCAGTTTGATGATTTGGATACTCGGAATGAAAGACAAAAATCTGATAAACTTGCAGCAGTAAGAGAAATGTACACAACTTTCAATGAAAATTGCATGAAAAATTATTCTTCTTCTGAATTCGTTACTATAGATGAAATGTTGTACGCTTTTAGAGGAAGGTGTGGGTTTATACAATACATGCCAACCAAGCCTGAAAATATGGACTTAAATTTTACGCATTGTGCGATGCGAAAACATTTTATGTTCATAATTTTGAGATATATTGTGGCAAACAAAAACCCGGACAGTTCTTCGTATCCAACAAACCACACGATATTGTTATGCGACTTATTGAACCTCTTAAGAACTCAAAACGAAATTTGACAACCGACAATTACTATAGTAATTATTCTCTGGCACAAGAATTACTCGAAAATGGTATAACCCTCCTCACCACTTTGAAAAAAAATAAAACCGATATTCCACCAGAATTTCTTCCGAATCCAAAGTGTATAGTAAAATCATCTCTATTTGGATATCAAGATGAGTGTACTTTGGTGTCCTACGTTCCTAAGAAGAACAAAGCTGTCATTCTATTATCTACAATGCATGATGGTCATGGTGACATAAACGAAGAAACCGGAAAGCCTGAGATCATCCATGATTACAATAAAACAAAAAGTGGAGTAGATACGGTTGACCAAAAGTGCTCGGTAGCTTCAACAGCTCGGAATACTAGAAGATGGCCGCTTGCCTTGTTTTTCCGTTTCTTGGATATAGCTGGGGTCAATTCTCATATTATATACGTCGCCAATAATATGTCATCGTACGATTATCAAAATTTTCGAAGGTTACCCTTTCTTCAAAGGCTCGCTATAAACCTCTTAGAAGAACATCTGGAAGAAAGAGCCAAAGTAAAGAGTGTTCCTAAAGATATACAGCATTTTCTCGCTAAATACCGAAATGAAGATGTTTCCTCTATTACTCAAGGAAAGAATCTGCCGAGATCTGGAGCTTGTCATGCATGTGGAACAAGAAAAAACAACAAAACTACGGTTAGATGTTCTCTTTGTACTCGTTTTGTTTGTAAGAAACATTGCACTTATATAATTAAGTGCCACTCATGTCAAAATTCAGAAAGTTCAGAAGCAAGTATGGAAGATTAAAATTTAAGAAAAAGTTTTTATAAAAATGTATTTATTATAAGTTTATAAATTTAATATGTTTATAAGTATAATATTTTAGTTTTATCAATAAATACGTTTATTTATGAATATTTATACTTTATATTCACATTTCCCAAAATTATGATAGTATTATATTAAAAAGATTAAAAAACTACATACTTTATAGACATAACAAAATTCAGTCTAAGTCATTTCAAATTGGATATGAGACGCTGAAATCAGTTATTACACATATAATACTAATTATTTACACTACGTATTTGTTTTGAATATTTCCACAGTACTTTTTGATTAATCATTAGTTAACGAGTGATTAACAAAATTTCTTAGATCAAATTCCATTGTGTTGGCACAGAGTGCCGTCCGCGGGTGCCGATGTAAGGGAGAAAGACGCGGGTGCCCGAGGGTTAATGTAATTTTTAATTATATTTATTTTCATTGTTAATTTGACTTAAATATGGCTCATATAGAAAAGTTTTATGACGTTTTAAATCCAATAATTAAAAAAAAAGATTCTAGTAATACTTTTTATTTAACACGTGAAATGTACAATACGCATTTACAAGAAGTGAAGCACGCAAAAACAATCGCTGTCAAAAAATCAATTCACTATCGGAGATTAAAACGTTTTGATGTTCTTTGTATTGGGAATGAAGATAAACTTATTTTTCCAGTGGAAAGTGGATCTGAAGATATTCGATACTACGTATGTAATGACGAACTTTTTGATATTGAACACGCAGCTGATATTGAAACAGGACATGGTGGTAGGGATCGGATAAATCATATGCTAAAAAAAAAAATCAAAAATATTAATGTGGAAGCTATAAATGTGTACTTGAAAATGTGTGAAACATGCCAGAAAAAGCATAGTATGCCAAAAAAAGGACTCGTTGTTAAACCGATATTGTACAATGAAATGAATTCTCGATGTTAAATTGATTTAATTGATATGCAATCAAACACAGATAATGGTTTTAAATACATTATGGTGTATCAAGATCACCTGACAAAATTTGTGATTATACGACCTTTACGGTGTAAACGTGCAGAAGAAATCGCATATCAACTTCTAGATATATTCACTTTCTTTGGAGCTCCTAGTATATTACACTGATAACGGGCGAGAATTTGTAAATAAAATTGTTACCAGTGTAAGTGAAATGTGGTCTCAAGTTAAAATAGTTCATGGCAAAGCTCGTCACAGCCAATCTTAAGGATCGATTGAACGAGCTAATCAAGACATCGAAAGTATGATAGCAACTTGGATGGAAACTAATGACAATGCAAAATGGTCTGAATCTTTACGATTTTTTCATGCAATGAAAAATTCAGCATTTCATTCAGGTTAGTTATAATTATTATTAACTTTTTTTCTATTGTATATTTAAAAGGTATTTTTATCAATTTAATCATATCATTCATTTTTAGGTTAAGTAGTACTTAGTAATTATTATAAAAACAAAAAAAAATTTAAAAATATACAACCGAACAAACACAGATTTTCGTGGTATACCCATGTGTAATATAACATTGAATAATTATTATTTGTATTAAAATAATCCTACAATTGTAATATAAATTTTAAAATAAAGTATAATATAATAAAATAGCTATAAATTATAACTATTTTTTGAATTAGGTATAAAACAATCAGCCTATGAGGCAATGTTTGGGTGTACAATGAAAATGAGACTTGCTACTTCGAGCATACCGAAAAATGTGATAACAGAACTCATTAATGAAGATGACCATATATTTGTTCTTGAAGACTCTAAAATTACAATTTCTAATGAGAATGAGGAGACGAATACTACTGAAAAAAATCAATGAGAACATAGACATTGATCATAACCAAGGAAAAAAAAAAAATCGATATTGAGATCTACAAAAATAAAGGGGTAGATATAGAAACAAAAATAGACAACGATGAAAAAACAATTTTATCGAAGAAAGATAAAAATGAAAAAGTTAATAAAAAAATATTACTTGGACGTTCTACTAAAATTAAACGCAACGAGAAGAGTCACTACAATCTCTGAAAAAAAAAGTAAAAAAAAATGAAAACAATATCTAATAAAAATTTTCCTGCTGCATTAATTAGTCAAACAGTGCGAGTGAAAATTCCAGATTTCGACCGATGTAAAATTGATTCTCTCAAATTATTGGCTGTAGTTGTTGAAATTATTGACGAAGAATTTTATCGAATAGGATCTAAAGCTGGGACATTGAATCAATTATTCACTAGAAATCAATTTATTTTATGCGAAGAAAAATTTATTTCAATATCCGATGTTCCAAATACAACAAAAAGCATACGCAAAGCTGTTGCTCAACTTTCACTATCAGGTGGGCAAGGATTTTTGAGGTCTGATTGCCAGAAAAAATTTACAACTAAAAAATGTAAATGCCGCCAGTCAAATGTATTATGTAATAGCAGGTGTCATAATAGTACAACATGTGCAAATAAATAAAAATTTTAAATAATTATTTCTAACTGCCCATCAATTTTACTGAATTTTACTTAATTTTTATGAAGAATAAATAATGATTCTGTTTTTAAATGATTTTTATTTTGTATAAAGAATTTAAATATCTATCGGTAGTTTATTTTAATAATATATAATTATAATTTTTACGCAGCTAAAATGTTATGTGTCGCGTATTGATCAACTTTTACTAAGTCAATTTGTATATCCTAGGATGTACACAACGTGTTTAGTAAAATCCCGAATAAAATTTAGAATTTCAGCATTTACTGAGTACAAACAGTAAAACCTAGTATTATCTAGTAAAACCTAGGTTTACCTAGTGATCGGGCATTTACGGTAACATATATATTTTTAATTCTATATTTGTATTTATATTTGTTTTTGTTCTAAAGTTTAAATTTTTACACCACATCTAGTTTTTTTAAATTTTTTTTATATTTTTGTATTCATAACTTTTGAAAGTTTTCATTCGTATTGATGTGTTTCTCAACTAATAAATTGAATTTAATTCCAGGAATTCTGCAGTAGTTGAATACAATTTAAGGTTTAAATCTTAAAATCTGAAAATATAGCATCACACGTTGTCTGATAATTTAATTTCAACTATAAAATAGTTATATTTATTACATCTATAGTTTTTAGAAACCTACATTTTATTACAGTAAATGTATTGATTACTGTTATATAATCTGTATAAATTAATTACCGTTGGAGTAATCTACTTATAATTGATATTTATTGGAATAATTTTGCACATAGTAGTAATAGTATTAGTAGTTACTTATTGTGTTACTAGTAAATTATGAGGGATCAAGATCAGTTATAATAACAGTTTACTGACAACATTATTCAATTACCAAATACGTATCTGAAAATTAATTTTGCTGACTGTCATTAAGCAAATAATAATGGTTTTCGTATTTTGTATAGAGTTTACGGAGCAATTAGAAACCGATTAAAAAGCGTTTAAAATACATAGCTGATAGATTACATTATGATCATCTTAAATAACTTGCAAACTTTCAGTAATTGCTGAGTCGTGATATGTAGTTTATTGTTCATGGTCAACAGTCTTCTCAGAATAAAATTATCTTTATACTTTGCGAGCAATTTACTGCTGTGCAGCATAAAGTCCGAATCGTTTGCTTATTAGATAATTTGATTATTGTTGATTTTACAAAATGTTTACCTATGTATTATAGTTTACTTCGTTCAGTTTTAATTTGTTGATTGTTAGTTGGATAAATGATATGTTATTTTCGACAGAAATATAAATCTGTTAGAGTACGGTTCGTGGGAAAAAACGATAAAAATAAAACCATCATATACTTGTGACTGCCGTGATTATCGAATCAGGACTTACAGATAATCTTTGGCCAATCGAAATTGTATCAGCCGGAGCCATTATTCGAGTTATCGATCGATAGCGATTCAAGGGCATTAAACATTTTTTTCGGGGCGTTAGCTGACCGTTTTATTAAAAATAACGTTTTGACATTAAAAACGTTTTTAATACCGATAAGGAAATAAAAAACATAAAAAATACATTCGAATGTCGAAATGAAAACATGGTTTATAGGTGTGGTAAATTATAAACTATATCTGTAAAAGTGCTATTAAAAGATTATACTATACTAGTAGTTGTTACTTTATTGGAAACATATATAGATGCTTAAAGATGAAGGCCTTCTTGATTTTAGTATGGTAATTTTGTTAAATCCTTCAATATCATAAGGTCTGACAGGAATAAAATAATTGTAAATGTAGTGAATAATTGTAAAAAAAAAAAAAAAAAAAAAAAATACTAAAACATGGTGTACCTTGGATAGAATTTTTATTTTTATACTTATATTTTTAACTTGCAACTTTATTATATATATATTTATATGATGATGGACTTTAGTAAAATTTGATAACATTTTTCAATGCTTTTAAGCTGTTTAAACTAAAGTCTTTTGTCGTAAAATGTCGTAAAATGTACGGTTGATTTCTATAATAAATGTTCTAAAAAACATTAAAACTATCTTTTGAGTTACAATACTTTTTTTATTATGTTTAGATTATTATGTTGATTATTATTATGTTTTTATTGTGTTTTTTATATGTTTAGAGTTTAATTAGATAAATTTATACTCAGTAATCTTTATCTTCATCTAGATAAAATTATAGTTATCTGAGTACATATCTAAATAATTTATATAAATGAAATAAAAAAAAAAAAAATTGAAAATTGAAAATATTTTTATATTTTTCTGTACACCGTTATCTATTACACAGAAAACAAACATTTAGTGAAATGTATTATTTCACTAAGTATTTTAATATTGAATATTTATTGTAAGTCTGGAGTTTTACATCGTAAACAATGACAAGACCCAAAAATAAGAATATGCAATGGTCATGTAGTAAGAACAACTAATAATAGAAAAAGCGAAAACATCTATGCTTGCTACCCACCATAAATTTTTATATTTTATGTTTATTAAT